GTGTGTCTGTGCCTTTGCCTGTGTCTGAGTGTGTGTGTGTGTGTTGTGTGTTGTGTGTTGTGTGTTGTGTGTTGTGTGTTGTGTGTTGTGTGTTGTGTGTTGTGTGTTGTGTGTTGTGTGTTGTGTGTTGTGTGTTGTGTGTTGTGTGTTGTGTGTTGTGTGTTGTGTGGTGTGTGTGTGTGTGTCTGCGTCTGTGTGTGAATGTGTGTGTGCGTGTGTGTGTGTGTGTCATTGTGTTTGTGTGTGTCTGTGTGTTTGTGTCAGTCAGTGTGTCCGTGTGTCTGTGCGTCTGTGTGCCATTGTGTCTGCGTGTCTGCGTGTGTGTGACTGTGTCTGTGTGTCTGTGTGTCTGTGTGTCTGTGTGTCTGTGTGTCTGTGTGTGTTGTGTGTTGTGTGTTTTGTGTTGTGTGGTGTGTGTATGTGTGTGCATGCGTGTGTGTCTGTGTGTGTGGGTGGGGGGGGCGGGGCGGTGTGTGTGTGTTGTGTGCGGTTGTGTGTTGCGTGTGTTGGTATGTTCGTTTGCTTTACAGCTGGCGTGGCTGGCACGGCTGGTAATCTAATCTACCGGGTCTAATTGGTGTTGGTGGCGGGATGCTGGGCATCTACAGATGCGTATATATGTACAGAAGAATCAAGAACACACTCAAAACTGATGCTAAGACATCTTCCTGTCAGGAATTAAGAGCCAGCTTCGCTGAATGTTTTAGCCCTGTTGCGAGAGCCAGCTTTGAAGCGTGCAAATTCTTAGCGCAGCGCGGCGCCAGTGTTGGTAGTTGTGATAAAGATTGCGCCAGTGATGATGCCGATTGCGGGGCCGGGGGCTCTGCAGCAATGTATGAAACACAACATGCAGGAGCATGTGGAGAAAGATGTGGTGGGGGATCTGGACGAAGACGGGCGGGAAATCTGAAGGAAGATCTGGAACAAAAATCTGGGGAATATCTACAGTAGAGGAGAGATCTCGGAAGACCCTGGTGAAGATCTGGGTGAAGATCTGGACGAAGATTTGGAAAAGATCTGGGGGGAGATCTGGAAGAAGACCTGGAGAAACATCTGGTGGAAAATCTGGGGACATCTAGAGGAGAGATCTCGAGGAAGACCCTGGTGAAGATCAGGGTGCAAATCTGGGTGAAAATCTAGGGGAAGATCTGGGTGAGGATCTGGGGTAAGATCTGGGAGAAGATCTGGAGAAAGATCTGGAGGAAAATCTAGAGGAGAGATCTCGGGGAAGATCTCGGTGGATATCTGGGGGAAGATCTGGAGAAGATCTGGGGGGAATTCTGGTGGAAGATTAGAAGAAAAATATGAGGAAGATCTGCAGGAGAGATCTCGGGGAGGATCTGGGTGAAGATCTGGGGGAATGTCTTGGAATGGAGGGAGATCTGGAGGAAGATCTGGGTAAAGATCTGGTTGAAGATCTGGAGGAAGATCTGGAGAAGATTTGGGGGAAACTCTGAGGGATGATATGGAGGAAGATCTGGTGGAGGATCCGGAAGAGAGCTCTTGGGAAAGATCTTGGCGAAGATCTGGGTGAAGATCCGAGGGAAAATCTGGACGAAGATCTGGAGGCAGATCTGTAGGAAGATCTGGAGGAGAGGTGTGGGGGAAGATCTGGAGGAGAGATCTCGGGGAAAGTCTGGGTGAAGATCTGGGTGGAGATCCGGAAAAGATCTGGGGCAAGATCTGGAGGAAGATCTGAGGAAAAAACTGGGGGAATATCTGGAGGAGAGATCTGGGTGTAGATCTGGGTGGAGATCTTGGTGAAGATCTTGAGTAATATCTGCATGAATATTTGAAGGAAGAGCCGTGGGAAATCTGGAGGAAGATGTCTGAAAATATCTGGAGGGAATATCTGGAGCAAGATTGGGCAGAACATCTGGAGGCAGCTCTGAGGAGCGATGTGGACGATGATCTAGAAGAAGGTCTGAAAACCCATGGGAAGTTCTGGGGGGCGAAATGAAAAAGAAGTGGGAGACATCCAAAAGAAAGGTGAAGATTTTGGGGAAGCTCGGGGGGAAGATCTGGAGGAAGATTTGGTGAACGATCTGGAGGACAGTTCTTGGGAAAGATCTGGGCGAAGATCTGGGTGAAGATCTGAGGGAAGATCTGGACGAAGATCTGGAGGCTGATCTGGAGGAAGATCTGGAGGAGAGGTGTGGGGGGAGATCTGGAGGAGAGATCTCGGGGAAAGTCTGGGTGAAGAACTGGGTGAAGAACTGGGTGAAGATCTGGAGGAAGATCTGGGGCAAGATCTGGAGGAAGATCTGGGGAAAAACCTTGGGGAAGATCTGGGTGAAGATCTGGGTGAAGATCTGGGTGGAGATCTGGGTGAAGATCTGGAGTAAGATCTGCATGAATATTTGAAGGAAGAGCCGTGGGACATCTGGAGGAAAATGTCTGAAAACATCAGGAGGGAATATCTGGAGCAAGATTGGGCGGAACATCTGGAGGCAGCTCTGAGGAGCGATGTGGACGATGATCTGGAAGAGGATCTGAAAACCCAGGGAAAGGTCTGGGAGGCGAAATGAAGAAGAAAATCGAAAAATCTACACGAAGGAGGTCAGCAGGAACAAGTGACGGAATATCCGGGGGAAAATATGAAGGAAAATGTTGGGAAATATCTCGGAAGATCTGGAAAAGATCTGGTGAAGATCTGGAGGAAGATCTGGGGCAAGATCTGGAGGAAGATCTGAGGAACAAACTGGGGGAAGATCTGGAAGAAAGATCTGGGTGAAGATCTGTGTGGAGATCTGGGTGACGATCTGGAGTAATACCAGAAAGAAAATGTGAAAGAATAACCGTGGGACATCTGGAGGAAGATGTCTGAACATATCTGGAGGGAATATCTGGAGCAATATTGGGCGGAACACCTGGAGGCAGCTCTGAGGAGCGATGTGGACGATGATCTGGAAGAGGATATGAAAACCCAGGGGTCTGGGAGGCGAAATGAAGAAGAACATCGAGAAATCTACACGAAGGAGGTAAGCAGGAACAAGTGACGGAATATCCGGGGGAACATATAAAGGAAACTGGTGGCGAATATCTAGGAACATCTGGAAAAGATCTGGGAGAAGATCTGGAGGAAGACCCGGGGAAAACCTAGGAAGATCCAGGGAAGATCTGGAGCAACATATGGAGAATATCTGGAAGAAGATCTGGAGGAATATCCGGGGAAGATCTAGGAAGATCGGGGAAAGATCTGGAGGAAGATCGGGGGGGCAAATCTAGGGGGAGACCAGAAGGAAAGTCTCGAGGTAGGTCTTGGAGAAAATCCAGATGATGCGGAGGTGATCAGGAAAAAGATGCCAGCGTTAAGACACCGGGCTAGTGTTTGGGAATTCGTTACCGAAACTTAAAAATAAGACCCAGCTTGGAGGAGGGAGCCTCCTAACATAATCGATCAGTGTTTAAGATTGGCACATTTGTATGTGAAGTTTGCACGTATGTCACTCGTACCCAGAGAAATCCAGACGGGTCCCACCAGACAGACCTAGAAGGGCGCTCGAGAGTGCTCTACAAGGACCTGGGCAGCACGCCGTATATTGTAGTGATGCCTCCCGAGAGCCTCCTCACTGTCGAGGGGGCCAGGGTCGGGGGCGGTGCGCACAACATTATATATATATATATATATATGGTAAACCCGCACAATCCTCTCGACGATCTCACGCGTAGGGTGACCATCGAGCCCAAAACGCGTAGAGGGACAGTCAGGAGGCGAATCGGGATGGTATACAAGCCTCCACAAAACTGGGCAATGAAGATAGTGCAGCATGTCGTCACGGCACTGAGCACACTGGAATCTACACAAGCCAATTTCTGACGAGTGCAAACGCGCGCTAGTGAGCCAACCTCCTACAATCGTCTTTAGGACCGCACTCTGCCATGCTGGGGGGGCCCCATTCCGAATGAGATCTCTGAGGGCATCCCAAAACGATTCCGAAAATGGGAGCTCCCGAGAGGCCATACGTTTAGCGAGGGTGAGGTGGAGGACGTCGGGGTAGAGGAAGAGGCGAAGGGAGGAGGAAAGAGATCTCTGCACTCTCACGCGCCCCTGTCCCGAGGCTTCGGCAAGGGCAGCAAGGGCGGTGCGGGCGGCCGAGGCGTGAGCCTTCAGTGGAAAGGTGGCCTTGCTGGCCTCAAGGGCCCAGAGCCCGCGGTGGAGGATCGCCGTGCCAGGCAGCGCGAGGGCCGCGCGCTGGGCAGACGCCCGGCCACGTGTGCAAGGCAGCTCTCTCCCAAGCGGGCCGCGGACGTTTGCCAACTGGCTGGAGGCTCGCTCCGCTCGCGCCACTGTCGCAGGTGCCTGTTCTAGAACCATTGGAATGACAAATATGGTCTTTCAGGGCACTGTGCTGGGGCCCACCTTTTTTGAATTTATTTTCCAGTAACGCTCGGGGCCATCAATAGAATGTTGTTCAAAAACATAATGTATGCTGATCTGAATGTTTTTCGTTCCTTTCCTCTCTCCATCTCCTGGTCCGCAGAAGTTCCAACTGCATTCCTGGAAACCTGTTTTTTTTCTGAGGCTCTGCTGTTCGTCTTGGTTGTATGGTTTGTTGTCGGCGTGATGTTCGTTGTTGTTCTTCTTCTCAGTTTCCTTTTGCATGTGTACTTTATTGTTGTTGCATTAATTGATCTTTATTGTTTTGGAAATCTCGTCCGTCGCCGCTCGTCCTTCACAGCAGCAGCGGCGCGAGGACAATGATCGACAGGCCCTGCAGAGATCAGCGCCCCTCTAACGGGGACTCCACTGACGAGTACGTTGGCCAGTGACCGGGCGAACACAGCCCTCCCCGAAGTGGGCAACGCTGCAATGCCAGAGAAGACCCTAAAGTGGCAACTTTCGGAAACTTTCCAAAGTACCCGCTGGTGGGTACCCGTTACGGTGCCGATGAAGAGAAGGACCATGAAGCACGCCGGTGCGAAACGCACGCAGAGGGTATCTTTTCCGCCACAGAGCGTGCGGTCGGCAAGACGACTCGCCACGATGCCGGGTCGGTTTACTGTGCCTTCTTGGCCTCAGCAGCGGCTGCCAAGAGCTTCCTCGCCCCGTTGACCGTCTTGCCTTTGGCCTCCGCAGCCTGGGATGAATGTTTGCGCAGGGCTGTGATTATCGACTGACTAGCTACCAGACCACCCCAACCCAACCCGAAGACCCGAATTTGACTCGAACTTCGGGTTGGGGGGGGTACGGATTCCATGTGTTTTTTCAATGTTCCCCGACCCCCCCCCTCTGGAAATCGAGGATAAATTTGGGCCTTCGGGTTGGGTTGGGGTGGTTTGGTGGATGGTGATCGACCGCGTGCTACTACGGCAGGTTCGTGTCGTGCCGACCCCGGCGTTGGTTTTTGACACCGCAACGATCGATTCAACCTTGAACGATCGGCCATTTCCGCAACGTCCAATCGTTCAACATCGACCGATTCTGGGCCGCCGCCGGCGTTCAAAATTGAACGATCGGCCATTTCCGCAACGTCCAATCGTTCCACATCGATCGATTCTGGGCCGCCGGCGGCGTTCAACCTTGAACGCCCGCGCTGGGGTCGCCGCCGGTCGACACGACGCAGACCTACCGTACCCGGTCTGCACGGCGTGCCCTCAGCAGCAAGGAGGGCAAGAGATGCCCCCCGCGTCAAACGGGCTTACCGGATTCAGGTCGGGGGGACCGTGGGCGCCCCCCCCCCCCCTCCTCCTCCTCCTCCTCCTCCTCCTCCTCCTCCTCCTCCTCCTCCTCCTCCTCCTCCTCCTCCTCCTCCTCCTCCTCCTCCTCCTCCATCCTCTCTCCCTCCTCATCATCATCATCATCATCAGCATCATCATCATCATCATCATCATCAGCATCAGCATCAGCATCAGCATCAGCAGCATCAGCATCATCAGCAGCATCAGCATCAGCATCATCAGCATCATCATCACCATCATCATCATATCATCATCGTCGTCATCATCATCATCAGCAGCAGCATCAGCATCAGCATCAGCATCAGCATCAGCATCATCAACATCATCATCCTCATCATCCTCATCCTCATCCTCATCCTCCTCCTCATCATCATCACATCATATCATCATCATCATCTCATCATCATCATCATCATCATCAACATCATCATCATCCTCGTACTCCTCCTCCTCCTCCTCGTAATCCTCCTCCCTCCTCTCTCCTCTTCGTCCTCGTCCTCCTCCGTCTCCTCCCTCCTCCTCCTCCTGCCCCTCCTCCCTCCGTCCTCGTCTCGTTCGCCTCCTCCTCCTCCTCCTCCTGCTCCTCCTCCTCCTCCTCCTCTTCCTCCTCTGTCCTCTCCTCCTCCCCCTTCTCCTCCCCCTCCCTCCCCTCCTCCTCCCCCCCCCACCAGACCCTCGTCGAGCCCCCCGAGACTCGCGACATGGTGCCCTGAGCCGTTCCCGCCCAGTGCCCAATGACCTCCAACAAAGGACCCGAAAGCGCATGCAACCCCCAACGGCACGAAATGACAGAATGGCAGAGCGAAACCTGCCGACCCAACCTTGCAAAGTCCGCGAGGTCCTCGAGAATCGAACCAGGAAATCGGATCGGTACGACTGCGACTGGCACGCTTCCGCTGGGGAGCCAAGTCGAAGACACGGGCGATCGGAGCCCCGCGGGCCCGTCCGCCCCGTCGGGGCCCCGCAGCAGGCCCTCGCCCAGGCGCGTCGCGCCCAGCTGAGGTGCAGAGAGGTCCTCTCCGAGGGCCCCCCCCGAGAGTTGTTGGACGGGCCCGTCCGCCCCTGCCGAGGGGCGCGGGGGGCTCGACGGCGGCGGGGCGGTCGCCGACGCCGCCGAGAAAGGGTGGCGCGGACACCGCGCTGCGGCGAGGCCGACAAACGACGAGGAGGAGGAGGAGGAGGAGGAGGAGGAGGAGGAGGAGGAGGAGGAGGAGCAGCAAGGAGGATGAGGGAATCCCGCTCTCTCTCTCTCTCTCTCTCTCTTTCCCGCTGTTCTTTCAGTGGCGTGCGGTCCCTCCCTCGACCCACCGTCTGCCCTCCCTCCTGGGCTACCCGTGCCCCTGTTGCAGCCGCCAGGACGATCGGGATCGGATCGAGACCAGCGAGCCCGAGGTCGACTCGGACCGATCGAGCCGACAAGGGTCCTGCGCTGGGGCCGTCCAAGAATCAGCCGCCGCGCTCCAGAGTCGCCCAGACTGAATGGCTCGGGCACCCTGAAACCTTGTCTCATGCAAGCCCTGGTCTCGTCGCCAGCCCCTCCTCCTCCCCCCTCCTCCCTCCGCCTCCTCCTCCTCCTCCTCCTCGTCCTCGTCCTCCTCCTCCTCCTCCTCCTCGTCCTCGTCCTCCTCGTCCTCACCCTCCTGGATCTCCTCCTCCTCCTCCTCCTCCTCTCTCCTCCTCCTGCTCCTCCTGCTCCTCCCCCCTCTTTTCTCCTCCCCCTTCCTCCTCCTCTCCTCCTCCTCCTCCCTCCTCCTCCTCCTCCTCCCTCCTCTCCTCCTCTCCTCCTCCTCCTCCTCCTCCTCCTCCTCCTCCACCCGCGCCTCCTCCTGCTCTCAACCTTGGCAAAAGCCCCCAGAGGCCGCAAACAGCGACACAGATGCAGCTGCAACGTCCCTAGCACGATGAACCCGAGGAAAGACATGAGAAGGCACCTGATCAATGTGACCAACGGCAAGCACACACTCACTCAGTTACTCAGTCACTCACTCACTCACTCACTCACACACACGCGCCGTTTATTCAAATAGTTGGTCATGTGATTCAGGTGATCGTGGCTCCAGGAATCACGATCACCGAGCGCAGTCAAACCAAGACAGTGAGTGTAAAACACGCGCTCCTGGGCAGCTGCTTCAATGGCAGCCTTCTGCTTGTTGATGGAGGACAGCACCGCCTCGCGCCATGCAGCGTCAAACCCAAACATCCCTCCATGTGTTCCTCTTCATCCAACAGCACGTCCTCCGCTTACCATCGTCCACACTGCCACCGTCATTGATACATGTCTCCTTCTCATCCGCCTCCTCATCACCCATGCATTCCTGAACCAAGCGACGCTAACAACACTGACCGCGAGCACTGCGCATATAACAAAACAGCAAGGCTGCGCCGAAGCGTCCAGCGGAAGAGCGTCTCCGAATCATACTACAATAGGCAAATACGATAATACAAGTGGCACGTGTGTGCCCAGGCTCATACAAAAAAGTGAAAGGGAATTTGAAGCAGGAAGACACCATGACTGCAGGATGGGAGATGGAGAAGGGGAAGCTGGGGCGGCGCCGCCAGGGCGTGCCTAAGAGAAGGGGAAGAGGCAGGAGGTGAACGCAGAATAATATAAGATCGAGGTCGCACTCGAGCTCAAGTGGGGTTGCCACACCTTGCGATGTGTGTACCAGGGCCCCCCAGGAAACCTCAGGAGGCCCGACTTGGATACCGGAAGCGGCTCCAAGAGGCCCCGGGATTGTGAGTGTTGTGTGTGTGATGTGTGCTCTGTGTTGTGCGTGTTTTCTGTGCGTTGTAGGTGTTGTGTGTGTGTGTGTGTGTTATGTTTGTCTAGCGTGTGATGTGTTGGGTGTGATTTGTGTCTCTGTGTGTGCATGTAGTTCTGAGGCCCCAGGAGGCCCCAGGAGGCCCCAGGCGGCCTCAGGAGGCCCCAGAAGACCCCAGGAGGCTCCAGGAGGCCCCAAGAGGCTCCAGGAGGCCGCAGGAGGCCCCAGGAGGTTCCAGGAGACCCCCAGGAGGCTCCGAGGCGGGGTCTGGGGTACCAGAAGGTACAGAAAGCCCCAGGAGGCCCCAGGAGGTTCCAGGAGGCTCCCAAGAGGCTCCGAGGCGGGGTCTGGGGCACCAGAAGGTACATCGGGGCTCGATTTGTGGAGGATGTCTCAGGCGAAATCGCCATTCTCTGAGAATCGGGGTCAAAAAATCATTGAAATTACAATGTGTGTTTGAAGGTTTTATGTCAGAGTGATGAAATTCCCATATGTTTTTGGACCCTGACGTCACGATCTGCGTGAGGGGTGCCACCGATTTTCAGAATTTCGAGGATGTCCCTAGCGAAACGGCCAGAAAAATCGCGAACGCCGCCTTCAATTCATCGGCTCTGAGCTCTACTCCCTCGGAGAGGTGCGTATGAGAATAACTTGTTATCTGCCGCCGCGCCGCTTAGCACGGAGTGGGCGTGTCCTCAGATCCGTTGCCCAATCCTCTAAGCCTCAGCCCTCGACCCCAAGGGTTCTTGAGGGGCCCGGTCCCCGAATCCACTAATCTCCTTGGACTTGGACGTCTTCTCGCGTAGCATGTTCGGGCCCAAAAGGGCGCCAACACGGGCCAAGAGGGCCTTGAGAGACCCCCAAGACGGTCCAATAGGGCACGGGGTCGCCGAACGATCGCTCCGATACGCCCAAGATGGCCTGTGAGGATCCCATGCCGGCCCAGCCTCCAGGAGGCCTCCCAGGCAAACATCATCTAGTTTGGTCAGGTGTTTGAGAATCGTTGGTCTTAGAGGCCCCGAGAGGGGCCCAAGAGGCGTCAAGGGCGGCCCAAGAGGCCCCGAGGACGGCTCCAAGAGGGAGCCCAGAGAGGGGCCCCGAACGGACATTTCGAGCCATCGGCCCCGAGGCGGTCCGAGGACGGGCCCCCAATAGGCCCCAAGGCCCCCAAGAGGCCCCGAAGAGGCCCCCGAGAAGCCCCCCAAGAGGCTCCCAAGAGGCCCCCAGAGAGGCCCCCAGAGAGGCCCCCGAGAGCGCCCCGATGAGACCCCAAGAAGCATCCCTGAGAGCTCGAGCCCGCAACCGAGGCACGGTGGCGGGATGGGCCGAAGGCCTTTCGATCCGCCGCCCTTTCCGACAGCCGAAGACGGCCCAAGAGGCCTCCAAGATGGCCTCAGGACTGCACAAGAGGCCCCCAAGACGGCCCCAAGAGGGCACGAAGACGACCCAAGAGGCCTCCAAGACGCCCAAGATGGCCTCTAAGACGGCCCTCGAGCACCCCAACGGGGCCCCAAGACGGCCCAGAGAGGCCCCCAAAACGGCTTCCGAAGGCGTCAGACGGGCCAGGAGCCCACCAAGACGGCCGGAGTTGGGTCTAAGCTGGCCCAAGACGGCCCCAACGCCGCCCCCTGTCGATTCATCGCCGGGGTGCCTGGCGTGCTAGACCCTTTCGGTTTTGACTTCCAAGACGGCTCAGATGGCCCCAAGATGCCTCCAAGACGGCCCAAGGTGCCTCCAAGGCGGCCTACGATAGCTTCAAGATGGCCCAATACGGCCCAAGAGGTGCCTCCCGCCAGCCGCCCGTACAGATACTGATGCCGCCCCCTGTCGATTCATCGCAGAGCGGTTTGCCCGTTCGGGTGCTCAACATCCTTCTCTCGCGGGGCAGTTCCCGAGGATGTCTCAGGCAAGGCGCTGGTTTCAGCATTCCTTAGGGCAGGGGGCGGGGGTATATGACGGGCCCCTTCGCGCCCAGATTGGGGGGTTGTCTCAAGCGATGTGCCTGTTTGGGTGCTCAACATTTTTCTCTTCCGGAGCAGTGCCCGAGGATGTCTCAGGCGAGGCGCTGGTTTCAGCACTCCCTAGGGGGGGGGGGAGCCAAGGGGGTCTCACGGGCCCGTTCGCGCCCAGATTGAAGGGATGTGTCAGGCGGTTTGCCTGTTTGGGTGCTCAATTTCATTCTCTGTCGGAACAGTTTCCGAGGATGTCTCAGGCGAGGCGCTGGTTTCAGGGGGGGGGCGCCAGGGGGTATCTCACGGGCCCGTTCGCGCCCAGATTGGGGGTTGTCTGAAGCGGTTTGCCTGTTTGGGTGTCAATTTCCTTCTCTTTCGGAACAGTTTCCGAGGATGTCTCAGGCGAGGCGCTGGTTTCAGCACCCCCAAGGGGGGAGGGCGCCAGGGGGTATCTCACGGGTCCGTTCGCGCCCAGATTGGGGGGATGTCTCAAGCGGTTTGCTTGTTTGGGTGCTCAACTTCCTTCTCCTTCGGAACAGTTTCCGAGGATGTCTCAAGCGCGGCGCTGGTTTCAGCACCCCCAAGGGGGGAGGGCGCCAGGGGGTATCTCACGGGTCCGTTCGCGCCCAGATTGGGGGGATGCCTCAGGCGGTTTGCCTGTTTGGGTGCTCAAGTTTGCCTGTTCGGAACAGTTTCCGAGGATGTCTCAGGCGAGGCGCTGGTTTCAGCACCCCCAAGGGGGGAGGGCGCCAGGGGGTATCTCACGGGTCCGTTCGCGCCCAGATTGGGGGGATGTCTCAAGCGGTTTGCTTGTTTGGGTGCTCAACTTCCTTCTCTTTCGGAACAGTTTCCGAGGATGTCTCAGCGCGGCGCTGGTTTCAGCACCCCCAAGGGGGGAGGGCGCCAGGGGGTATCTCACGGGTCCGTTCGCGCCCAGATTGGGGGGGATGTCTCAGGCGGTTTGCCTGTTTGGGTGCTCAACTTCCTTCTCTGTCGGAACAGTTGCCGAGGATGTCTCAAGCGAGGCGCTGGTTTCAACACTCCCACGGAGGGGGAGGGCGCCAGGGGGTATCTCACGGGTCCGTTCGCGCCCAGATTGGGGGGATGTCTCAAGCGGTTTGCCTGTTTGGGTGCTCAACTTCCTTCTCTTTCGGAACAGTTTCCGAGGATGTCTCAGGCGAGGCGCTGGCTTCAGCACCCCCAAGGGGGAGGGCGCCAGGGGGTATCTCACGGGTCCGTTCGCGGTCTAGCGGTTTGCTTGTTTGGGTGCTCAACTTCCTTCTCTTTCGGAACAGTTTCCGAGGATGTCTCAGGCGAGGCGCTGGTTTCAGCACCCCCAGGGGGGAGGCGCCAGGAGGTATCTCACGGGTCCGTTCGCGCCCAGATTGGGGGGATGTCTCAGGCGGTTTGCCTGTTTGGGTGCTCAACTTCCTTCTCAGTCGGAACAGTTTCCGAGGATGTCTCAGGCGAGGCGCTGGCTTCAGCACCCCCAAGGGGGGAGGGCGCCAGGGGGTATCTCACGGGTCCGTTCGCGCCCAGATTGGGGGGATGTCTCAGGCGGTTCGCCTGTTTGGGTGCTCAACTTCCTTCTCTTTCGGAACAGTTTCCGAGGATGTCTCAGGCGAGGCGCTGGTTTCAGCACCCCCAAGGGGGGAGGGCGCCAGGGGGTATCTCACGGGTCCGTTCGCGCCCAGATTGGGGAGATGTCTCAAGCGGTTTGCCTGTTTGGGTGCTCAAGTTCCTTCTCTGTCGGAGCAGTTTCCGAGGATGTCTCAGGCGAGGCGCTGGCTTCAGCACCCCCAAGGGGGGTTGGCGCCAGGGGGTATCTCACGGGTCCGTTCGCGCCCAGATTGGGGGGATGTCTCAGGCGGTGTTCATGTTTGTGTCACCACCTTCACCTGGGAGGCGTCGTCCACGGCGCACAGTGTGAAGCGCTACAGCTTCATGCTGTCGCACGCCCACTACCTGACGACGACGGCCTCGCAGAGGCAGACAATGCGCGGCGCTGTGACCATCGACTGTGCGCGCCAAAAGCCCCAGGGACAGCGCGGCACTGATGACGACGCATGGTGGCTGAACCTTTCATGTCATGTTCTCCCGCGCCACCCGAATGGCGGACATGTTGCTGGCGCGGCCGCCGCCTCGCTGGCCGCTGGAAAGAGGTCCACCGAAGGCGGTACAGGAAGCTCTCGAACGCTTCGGACACAACGCGAAATTGACGGTGGAGGGAGCAGTTGAGTTCGCGGACAAGTGCAGGATGGTGCTGCCTGAGAACGAGGAGTCGCCGCTTTAGTTCTCTTTGGCCCGATGCCAAGAGCAAACTGTCGTGCACCGATCAGCTTTTCCGTTGCCGTTGCGCAAGCCGGCCTCGACTGCCGCCCCGATGCCAAACGCTGACGGCAAGTGTTCTTTGGCCGAGTAAATATGATCGTCGGCCTCATCGGCCCGATGCCAAAGGCGGACGGTCTCGCTCGGCGGCAAGCCCTGGCGGGTCTTGTCCATCCGCTGGCGAAAGACACACGAGCTTGGCCACTGAGGAAAAACAGGGGGCAGGCAACAGGGTGTCTCAGGCGAAGCGTCGGTCTGTTGAAATTCGTAGCCAGGCTCGTTTGCGTCCACAGCATCTGCTGAGGGTGTCCGAGGCGAAACGCTTGCGTCAGCACCCCAAGGGTCCCAGATTGCAAAGATGTCTTAAGCGATGTGCCTGCTTCGGTGGGCAGACTCGCCTGCGTCCAGAGCAGGTCATAAGAAGTTCTCAGGCGGAGCGCTGGCTCGAGCATCCCACGGGGCCCAGATCGCGAGAGGAGGTGGAGAAGGCGGAGCTGGAGCAGGAGGTGGTGAAGGGGAACTGAGAACTGGGGAGGGATGGCGAAGAGGAAGGACGAGGAGAAGGTGGAGGAAGAGGGAGGCGCAGAAGGAGGGAGAGGAGAGGCAGGAGGAGGAGGAGGAGGAGGAGGAGGAGGAGGACGGATGTGGGCAGAGGAAGAGGGTCCTCGCCGCCGAACGGGCAACTCGGCTGGCCGCGGCCAGATGATCGAGGTTCGAGGCTCCTGGCTCCAGCTTCGATGATCTAGGTTTTCCAGTGTTTTTGTTGCACTGTTCGAATTTCCTAGGCGTTCTCGCCTTCACGGATGGATTTTCCTGACAGGTGTTCATAGGGAAAGAAGGAGAAACAGGAGGAGGACAAGGAGGAGGAGGACGGAAGGAGGAAGAAACTACTTAAAGTCGTTGTAGTCGTCGGCGTCTCTCTCGGCCTCGTTTTCCACGTGTATTCGCGGACGCTCCGATGTTTGCCATCACTACGAGATGCACATGCAGCGGGGGCCCGACCACAAGAAACCTCCCACGAGAACCCCAACCCTGAGACCCCCGGGGCCTCCATGGATCCTTGGTGTGGGAACGCCACGCTCTCCATCGCCAAACCCTCGAAACCCAAGAAGCCCAGGGCACCCTGGAGCCGAGCAGGGTGCCTCTTGGCGTGGGCCTCCGCTGTACGCGGCTCTCCGCGTCGAGCAACTTGTCACGGCGTGGGCCCCGAGGGGTCTGGACCTCCTCCCTCTGGGCCAGCTTGGCGCCCCGGGCCCCCTCGGACGGCCCCCGCGGGGCCTGGCACGGGCCCCCCCCCGGAGGCAGAGGCCCTGCTGCAAACCTGCCGTCGACGACGACGACGACGACGACGACGACGACGACGACGACGACGACGACGACGACGACGACCACGACCACGACCACGACCACGACCACGACAAAGGTTGACGACGACGCTGGGGGCCGACGCTGCGCAAAAATCGCGATTGTCGGGGGTCTGGGGCAGCTGAGACTGGCGGCCATGTGCAAGGCCTCCAGGGCTGCTCCCTGCAATTTAGATTTCTCTCTCTCTCTCTCTCTCTCGGCCACGCGCAGAGGGGGGGATGTGGGGAGGGGGGGAAGGCTTCTTAGAAGCACCCCTGCCTCTTTGAGAAGCACTCCTGCTTCTGAAGGCGCGGGCCTTCTCTATAGATGCTTGGCCGGCGCCTTCTGAGAAGCAGCCTCCTTCTAAGAAGCCTTCCCCCCTACCCCTACCCCCCTCTGCGCGCCGCCAGTGGGTCTGGGCGGGGGCGGGGACGATCGCCTCCCGCACGCCGCCCTCGCGCTTCAGCAGCGCCAGCAGCACGAACGCGCAGCGGCTGCCGGCCGCTTCTTGCGCTCCGCCGCCCCGCTCTCCCAGGCCTCCCCTCGTCTCGCAACAAAACAAAAAACTCGCGAAAAGCATCTCGGCCTCTGGATCGATCGAAGCTGCCGTTGGGGGTTCGCTCGCCCTCTCGTCGACGGTCGCAGCGGGGCCGGCACTCGGCGCAACTCGGCGTTCGACAAGTGAGGGATCACCCTCATCATTCTCATTCTCCTGCTCCTCCACCTCCTCCTCCTCCTCCTCCTCCTCCTCCTCCTCCTCCTCCTCCTCCTCCTCCTCCTCCTCCTCCTCTTCCCCTCCTCCTCCTCCTCCTCCGCCTCCGCTCCGCCTCCTCCCCCTCCTCCTCCTCCTCCGCCTCCGCCTCCGCCTCCCCCCCCTCCTCCTCCTCCTCCTCCTCCTCTTCCTCCTCCCCTCCTCCTCCTCCTCCCCTCCTCCTCCTCCTCCTCCTCTCCTCCTCCTCCTCCTCCTCCCCCTCCTCCTCCTCCTCCTCCTCCTCCTCCTCCTCCTCCTCCTCCCCCTCCTCCTCCTCCGCCTCCTCCTCCTCCTCCTCCTCCTCCTCTCTCTCCTCCTCCTCCTCCTCCTCCGCCTCCTCCTCCTCCTCCTCCTCCTCCTCCTCCTCCTCCTTCCTCCTCCTCCTCCTCCTCCTCCTCCTCCTCCTGCTGTCCCGTTCAGAACGTATAGCCCCTCCCTGTCGCACCCCCAAACGAGTCGGCAGGGCGGGCCGAGCGTTCCGCGTGAGAGCCCTAAACATCTACGTCCCCGAAGCTTGAAACTTGGAAGCTTAAAACATCCCGAAGCTTGAACATTGAAACTGCTTCTAAGAAGCAGGGGCGCTTCTAAGAAGCAGGGGCGCTTCTAAGAAGTCTTCCCCCTCCCCACATCCCCCCCTCTGCGCGTGGCCAGCCAAGAGAGAGAGAGAGAGAGCAACGCCGCAAGGAGCGGCCCTGGAGGCCTTGCACATGGCCGCCCCAGACCCCCGATGTCGTGATTATTGCACAGCGTCGACCCCCAGAGGTCTGGACCCCTCCCCCGCGACCAGCTTCCCATCCCGAGTCGTTTTGCTTCGTCCCCACACTATTGCTTGGCCAGTTCTGACTACTCCTCCTGTCGAGGGACATGCCCGACCCAGTGGTGGTGGTCTACAGTCGGGGGCTTGACCTAAGGAACCCAAAATAAGGAACGAGGCCCCTTTTTTCCATGGGTTAAACTTCGATTCCCGATCGAAAACATAAGGAAAACCTGAGGCAAGCTGCGAAACAATCCAGGAACACCGAGCCCCCCCCCAACGGAAAGGGTTCCTTCTTCAAGACCCCATACTGTACTCCTTGGGGCCCGCCGCTGGCGCCCGCTGGCCCTCCCCGCGCTGCCTCGGCGAGAGAGGACAAGGAGGAGGAGGAGAGGGAGGAGAGGGAGGAGGAGGAGGAGGAGGAGGAGAGAGAGGAGGAGGAGGAGGAGGAGGGAGGAGGAGGAGGAGGAGGAGGAGGAGGAGGAGGAGGGGAGGAGGAGGAGGAGGAGAGGCCTGCGCTGCAGTGCCCCCTGCGGCGCCCCCGCCCCCGGGCCTTCCGCCGCCCGCCCCACGGGAGCTCCTCGAGCGCTCGAGGGGCGGAGCCCCGCTCTCTGGAGCGCCCCCAGCGGGGCCAGAGCCGCGTGCTGCGCTGGTGCTCCCGCCGTACTGGAGGAGCAGGAGGAGGAGGGGGAGGAGGAGGAGGAGGAGGAGGAGGAGGAGGAGGAGGAGGAGGAGAAGGAGGAGGAGGGGAAGGAGGGGGAGCAGAAGGAGGAGGAGCAGGAGGAGGAGAGAGGAGGAGGAGGGGGAGGAGGGGGAGGAGGAGGAGGAGGAGGAGAGCACACGAGGAGGGGAGGAGCAGCAGGAGAGGAGGAGGAGGAGATCTGGTCCCGGGGAAAGGAGCCAGGCCTCGGAGAGGAGCCGCGCCGCCCCCCCCCCCCCCAGTGAAAGGGAGGCACGCCGTCGTTGGAGGTCCGGGCGGAAGCGCCGGGGGCACGTCGGGAGGCAGCTCCTGGGCTGCGTTGCTCCCGTCGTGCTTCAGGACCACAGCCCAGAAATAGCTTCGAGCACCCAGACATGGTGGGCCTGTCTTCACCACCACCACCATAAGTTGGAGGGGGAGGGGGAGGGGGCCTCCTCCTCCTCCTCATCCTCCTCCCCCCCTCCAACTTATGGTGGTGGTAGTGGAAAAGAGGCCCAGCAAGAGAAGTATCGAAACAGTGTCCAACGAGTATCGCCTCCCAGGGCCCGACACATGAATACCCTCCAGCTTCGATGCTTTCCTGGTGCTCGGGATTCTTGCTGGACGCTGGGCCAGCCAGATGAAGCCCAGGATCCAGCGAGAGGCAAGAGCGCGATCGATCAAGCGTCGGCTGGACGACGCTTGATTGGGTTTGGGTGTGGGTTCTTGCCATCGCTCGGACGTCCATTTCGCGTGCATTGTTCGGTTTCGTGCGTGTGTGTTTTTGCTCGATGGTCCAGGATCGTCCTCAATGGTTCTCGCCGGGGAAAAATGCACACGCCCGAACGATGCCAGGGAAACGGGTCTTGCGTGAGATGGCGTAGCGACCTTACGCGGAGGCTCAGGCAGGCCGCCCGCGCGAAACGTTACGTTGGGAGCGAGGGCGCTCACGCGCAACATTGCGCGGGCAGCTTACGCGCCAATATCGGCGAAGACGATCCCTTTTTTACCTAACAGCTTTTGCTGATAGGTTTCTAGTGGTGTCAAAAGAGAGCAGCAGATGACTCCACAGGGGGGTCGGGGCGGCATCCGGGGAGCTGTGTCCGAACTCGTGTCCGAAGTCGTTTTTCGCAAACAGTCACACACTTCGTGCTCTTCGACCTCCCAGAACTCCACTCCCGGGCCACATTCTGAATGCCCGGAGCCAACTGTAGGCCACTTCGTGCTCTTCGACTTCCCAGAACTCCATTCCCGGGCCACATTTTGAATGCCCGGAGCCAACTGTAGGCCACTTCGTGCTCTTCGACTTCCCAGAACTCCATTCCCGGGCCACATTTTGAATGCCCGGAGCCAACTGTAGGCCACTTCGTGCTCTTCGAGTTCCCAGAACTCCATTCCCGGGCAACATTTTGAATGCCCGGAGCCAACTGTAGGCCACTTCGTGCTCTTCGAGTTCCCAGAACTCCATTCCCGGGCATGATTTTGAATGCCCGGAGCCAACTGAAGGCCACTTCGTGTTCTTCGAGTTCCCAGAACTCCATTCCCGGGCCACATTTTGAATGCTGAGGCAGGCTGATGCTGAGGCTGAGGCAGGCTGAGGGTGAGGCAGGCTGAGGCTGAGGCCGAGGCTGAAGGCAGACTGAGGCTGAGGCTGAAGCAGGCTGAGGCTGAGGCTGAGGCAGGCTGAGGCTGAGGCTGAGGCAGGCTGATGCTGAGGCAGGCTGAGGCTGAGGCTGAGGCTGATGCAGGCTGAGGCTGAGGCAGGCTGAGGCTGAGGCCGAGGCTGAAGGCAGACTGAGGCTGAGGCTGAAGCAGGCTGAGGCTGAGGCTGAGGCAGGCTGAGGCTGAGGCAGGCTGAGGCTGAGGCTGAGGCAGGCTGAGGCTGAGGCTGTGACTGCGACTGCCGTTGCCGCTGCGACTGTCATCGCGAATGCGACTACGACTGCGAGAACAGCAGAATTCTACAACTGGATTCTCATCTGAATCTTAAGGGGAATGCTTCCAGATATGCTCCTACACATCGCTGTTAGGTTGCTTTGCCGGGATAATTTTACCTAACAGCGAAGACTGATAGGTTTCTAGTGGTGTCAAAAGAGAGCAGCAGATGACTCCACAGGGGGGTCTGGGCGGCATCCGGGGAGCTGTGTCCGAACTCGTGTCCGAACTCGTTTTTCGCAAACAGTCATACACTTCGTGCTCTTCGACCTCCCAGAACTCCATTCCCGGGCCACATTCTGAATGCCCGGAGCCAACTGTAGGCCACTTCGTGCTCTTCGACTTCCCAGAACTCCATTCCCGGGCCACATTTTGAATGCCCGGAGCCAACTGTAGGCCACTTCGTGCTTCGACTTCCCAGAACTCCATTCCCGGGCACATTTTGAATGCCCGGAGCCAACTGTAGGCCACTTCGTGTCTTCGAGTTCCCAGAACTCCATTCCCGGGCCACATTTTGAATGCCCGGAGCCAACTGTAGGCCACTTCGTGGTCTTCGAGTTCCCAGAACTCCATTCCTGGGCATGATTTTGAATGCCCGGAGCCAACTGTAGGCCACTTCGTGTTCTTCGAGTTCCCAGAACTCCATTCCCTGGGCCACATTTTGAATGAGGCTGAGGCAGGCTGAGGCTGAGGCAGGCTGCTGCTGAGGGAGGCTGAGGCTGAGGCTGCAGGCTGAGGCTGAGGCAGGCTGAGGCTGAGGCCGAGGCTGAAGGCAGACTGAGGCTGAGGCTGAAGCAGGCTGAGGCTGAGGCTGAGGCAGGCTGAGGCTGAGGCTGAGGCAGGCTGATGCTGAGGCAGGCTGAGGCTGAGGCTGAGGCTGATGCAGGCTGAGGCTGAGGCAGGCTGAGGCTGAGGCCGAGGCTGAAGGCAGACTGAGGCTGAGGCTGAGCAGGCTGAGGCTGAGGCTGAGGAGGCTGAGGCTGAGGCTGAGGCTGAGGCTGAGGCAGGCAGGCTGAGGCTGAGCTGCAGGCTGAGGCAGGCTGAGGCTGAGGCTGAGGCTGCAGGCTGAGGCTGAGGCTGAGGCTGAGCAGCAGACTGAGGCTGAGGCTGAAGCAGGCTGAGGCTGAGGCTGAGGCAGGCTGAGGCTGAGGCTGAGGCTGAGGCAGGCTGAGGCTGAGGCTGATGCAGGCTGAGCTGCAGGCTGAGGCAGACTGAGGCTGAGGCTGAGGCTGAGGAGGCAGGCTGAGGCTGAGGCTGAGGCAGGCTGATGCTGAGGCAGGCTGAGGCTGAGGCTGAGGCTGATGCAGGCTGAGGCTGAGGCAGGCTGAGGCTGAGGCCGAGGCTGAAGGCAGACTGAGGCTGAGGCTGAAGCAGGCTGAGGCTGAGGCTGAGGCAGGCTGAGGCTGAGGCTGAGGCAGGCTGAGGCTGAGGCTGTGACTGCGACTGCCGTAGCCACTGCGACTGTCATCGCGAATGCGACTACGACTGCGAGAACAGCAGAATTCTACAACTGGATCCTCATCCGAATCCTAAGGGGAATGCTTCCAGAGATGCTCCTGCACATCGCTGTTAGGTTGCTTTGCCGGGATAATCCGTCGCTCAGCCAGATTAAGCCAAGGATTCGGCCATACGGCAGGTTCGTGTCGTGCCGACCCCAGCGTTGGTTTTTGAAACCGCAGGGATCGTTCAACCTTGAACGATCGGCCGCTGCCGCAACGTCCGATCGTTCAACATCGATCGATTCTGGGTCGCCGGCGGCGTTCAACCTTGAACGTCCGCGCTGGGGTCGCCGCTGGTCGACACGACGCAAACCTACCGTAGGCCACATGGGACGGAAGTACGCGGGCCGCAAACCTACCGCGCGGAACGTTATGTTGGGAGCGAGGGCGCTCACGCGCGACATTGCGCGGGCAGCTCACGCGCCAACATCGGCGAAGAAGGTCCCTTTTTTTCCGTCGCTCAGCCAGATTAAGCCAAGGATTCGGCCATAGGCCATATGGGACGGAAGTACGCGGGGTCGAAAGTACGCGGGGTCGATCGAGAAGAATGTTGCTGGACTTCGCCCCCACGTCGATGGTGCCCAAGCAGGCGCAGGGCAGGAGGTCAGGGCGCCGACCCCGCCCCCATCGCTGCCTCCGCCCTGGACCTCCTCGCGCCGCAAAGAGATCCCGACGGGAGGTGTGCAATCATTTTCGGCCTCCGGGGGCCCTTACGTGCCTCGGGACTGTCCACAAATTATCTCGGCGAAGGACCCAACCATATGCAGTCGTGGGTGCCGCAATTTTGGATATCTTCTTCGGCGAAGCTGCCCATGGGGCCACAAAGCGCTGCACTGGGTGGGGGGGGGACGCACGCGGGCGGCAGCACTGGGGCCGTCGGTGGAGCTCCCTCTGGGGCTACGAAACGCTGTACTGGGTGGGTGAAAATGCCAAAGTGGATGTGTGTGGCGCATGCGGGCGGTCCCTCTGGTGGCTTCGGTGGAGTTCCCTATGGGGCCACGAAGCGCTGTACTGGGTGGGTGAAAATGCCAAAGTGGGCGTGTGGGACGCATGCGGGCGTTCCCCCTGGGGGCGTCGGTGGAGCTCCCTATGGGGCTACGAAGCGCTGTACTGGGTGGGTGAAAATGCCAAAATGGGTTTTCGGGACGCATGCGGACGGTGGCACTGGGGCCGTCGGTGGAGCTCCCTATGGGGCTACGAAGCGCTGTACTGGGCGGGTGGTAATTCCAAAGTGGGTGTGTGGGGGTGGCGCATGCGGGCGGTCCCATTGGGGGCTTCGCTGGAGCCCCCTTTGGGGCCACGAAACGCTGCACTGGGTGGGGGGGACGCATGCGGACAGTAGCACTGGGACCTTCGGTGGGGCTATGGGGCCACGAAACGCTGTACTGTGTGGGAGGGACGCATGCGGACGATAGCACTGGGACCTTCGGTAGGGCTACCTATGGGGCCACGAAGTGCTGTACTGGATGGGGGGACGCATGCGGACGGTAGCACTGGGACCTTCGGTGGGGCTCTTTATGGGGCCACGAAACGTGCGAGGGGTGTGCTGAAACGGGTGGTGATGATGATGATGATGATGATGATGATGATGATGATGATGATGATGATGATGATGATGATGCTGATGATGCTGATACTGATGATGATGATGATGATGATGATGATGATGATGATGATGATGATGATGATGATGATGATGATGATGATGATGATGATGGTGATGGGAGGAGGGAGGAGGGGGAGGAGAGGAGAGGAGAAAAACGCGGGGCACCGTCTCTGAAAAACGAAGACCCAACACCACAGAATGGTTGGGAACAACTCAGGATGACAAGCCAGTCCAGGGGAAGGGGTCCAGACCTCTGGGAGTCGACGTTGCGAACAAAATCACGACGCCAGGTTCTCGGACCCAGCTGGTGGACCCCGCCGCGGGGGAGGCCCTCCTGGTGGACGCGTGCACCAGCCTGGGCAGGAAGCAGCGGCGCCACAGCGGCTCCGCGAGCGCTCCGTCCTGAGCGTGCCCAGAGCTTGACTGGCCGCCGCCCGATCGCATCGGCGGCACCCAGATCTCCGACGACGTGACTTTCTCGCAACCCAGACCCCCGACGTCGTGATTATGTTCACATCCTCGACCTCCACAGGTCTGGACCCCTTGCCCGGGACCCGTTGCTCATCCTGAATCGTTTGTTGACAGCCCCGAGGCCCGGCAGGGGCCCCCTCGGACCCGAAAGAGCGAAAAAACCGGCCGTCGTGATTTCTGTCCTGACTCGAGGGGGCCTGGGACAGCAGCACCCTGAGAGCACCGGGTCGCATCGGAACGCCTGCCTTGTGGAACCGAGCCAGATCGTGACTACCTACCAGACCACCCCAACCCAACCCGAAGACCCGAACTTCGGGTTGGGGGGGGTAAGGGTTCCACACGTGTTTTTTCTATGTTTCCCGACCCCCCCCCTACTGGAAATCGAGAGTAAATCTGAGCCTTCGGGTTGGGTTGGGGTGGTTTGGTGGGTGGTGAGGAACCGAGCCAGATCGAGCTGGCCGGGGCCGATTCCGAAGCGGACCGATCGGACCGAAGTGGACCCCCTGCACGGCGGGGCACCCCGGGCCGCCGAGGCGCTGAGGCCTCGCAAGCAGACATTGGCGCGCTCACAAACCTGAAGGGGCCCCAGGACACACAAACAAATACACACAAATAAAAATATTCCCCATATTTTCCAATATTTTCAGGGTTTTTGTCTTCCCCCCCACTTCCCATATTTTCTCATATTTTCTTGGGAATCGAGGATTAATTGTGTCTGCGTGTTTCTTTTCCTCCTGAAAACCGACGATCAAAAACAGGCCTTGCGCGAGAGGGCACCGCGACCTTACGCGGCGGCTTGCGCGGGCCGCGCGCGCGGCACGCCACATTGGAAACGACTGCGCTCACGCGCGGCCTTATGCGGGGAGCTCGCGCGCCAACGTCGGCGCAGACGACCCCGTGTGCCTGGGTCGTTCAAGTGCAGCCGTGGGTCGAGACGATCCCCACTCTCGAGAAGGGACTGACCGTCCCGGCACTCCTATAGGCCTACCACGACATGTTCTTGGAGCCCACAAATGTTCGAAAAACAAGAACAATGTTCTTAGACCATGAGCCCGATGCGTTAAAAGAAAGCAGCCTGAGCCAGAAATGCGCTAAGGACATTTCGTGCAGACCACAAAAGGTGCTCTCAGAAAATTCGCCAGTGGGCCTGTAGGCAAGCCAGACTGCTTGACAATCATCGTTCCCTCCAAGTGGATTTGGCAATAAGTCCTGACCTGCAGTGCCCCGCTTCCGGGAGAGCCCTGGCCACAGCACGGCCCCGAGCTCCACTGCAGCGGATCGCAGCGAAGCCACGACGGGGCACGGCAGGGCCGCCCCAAGAGCCCCCGCTTCCGAGCGCGCTGACGGGCTCTCGCACATACCTGCCGGCCGGAAGAAGTATGAGCATTGTTTTTCCGACCCCAATCCCCAGCGGCGTGGACTGAGACCCACTGGCCGATTTACCCCCCTAGATGGGGATATAGGCGGCTCCCTTCGGGCTTCGAGGGGTGCATCCCCAACTGGGGTGGAAAATTTCGTGGGGGTCTCGAAGGGGATGAGGATTGAGATGGGGGTCGGTGAAACGATACTGAAAGTAGGCAGAACCGTGAAGGATGGAACTCGTTGGAAGTAGCTTGGGTTTCCGCCCGCCCCCTGGAGAGGATCGGGGAGACGTAAGACCCGGGTACGGGGGACTCGGAAATCCCCGACGAGGTCGTCAAAAAAATGACGAGGCCGAGCCTGCATTTTGACGAGGCCTCCCGCTGCAGACATCCCACGAAACTCCTCCTCGTCAAAATCCGAGGCGCGGTCGTCAAAGAACGATGGCGAACCCGAGTCCTGGCAAACCCGGGTCTTACGCTGCCCCGAGAGGGAGGAGGGCAAGCCGCTCGACCCTTGCAGCAGGAAGGCGGCCAAAAGTAGATCGGGATCTGTGGGGATCCAGCCATACTTTCACCGACTGGCGTGTCTGCGGCGCAGCACTGGCTGGCCGCCCCAGCCGCTCCGCGGTGATGCACCTCGCCATGTGAGTGCCCTCCCACCCTTATCCTCCCGCTTCGCGGCCGCTTTCGCCCGTCTCCCTCCCCTCCTGCCGCCGGTTCATTTGCGACTTCCGATTCCCGGACCGCCTGACCGCGCGTGCGGACTGCCTCTTCCCAGGACCCCGACGTCGCGATTGTTTCGCGACGTCGACCCCCAGAGGTCTGGACCCCTTCCCACAGCACCCGTTTTTCATCCAGAGTCGTTTTCTGACGGCCCCAGGGCCCGGAGGGGGCCCCTGGAGGCCGATGATCCTGAAACACCTCCCGTCGTGACTTTTCCACGGCGCGAGGTCCGAGGGGGTCTGGGTCTTCCGCGCTGCGATCCCAGGCATGCGAAGTCCTGACTTTTTCGGGACGGCGCCCCTGGAAATCCCGACCCTTTCCCCGGGGCCGGTCTCTCGTCCTGGGTCGTGTTGGTGACGGTCCCGAGGCCCTGCGAGGGCCCCCTGGGGCCGAAAATAGCCAAAAACCTCCCGCCCTGATTCATCTACGACGCGATCATATCTGGGAAATAAACAAAACTGAAGGGGCCCCAGGACACACAAATAAATAGACACAAATAAAAAGATTCCCCATATGTTCCATATTTTGGGGGTTTCTGTCTTCCCTCCCACTTCCAATATTTTTCCATATTTTCTGGGGAATCGACGATTAATTCTGTCTGTGTGTTTCTTTTCCTCCTGAAAAGCCAAAAACATGTGCATGGGTGCCAAAGCAAACGGCGGGCGCCTCGGAGAAGAGCGGCCGCTGCAAGCACACACACCACACTCCCCGGCCAGACCCGCCCCGGGCTCCCTCTGGCAATCGCTCTGCCCAGGGATCGCCCCAAGCAGTGCTTTTCGTTTCAGACGACGCCAAGACGAGAATAGAATCCCAGACATGATCGCGTCGTTAAAACAAAAAAACAGTGCGACCCGACCTTGGAGTAGCAGCAGCAATAGTGGATGCTGTGCTGCGCTATGCTATGCTATGCTATGCTATGTTATGCTCTGATATGGTATGATATGATATGCTGTGCTATGCTATGCTATGCTATGCTGCGCAGTGCTATGCTGGGCTAGGCTATGCTATGCTATGCTATGCTGCGCGATGCCATGCTGCGCTATGCTATGCTATGCTATGCTATGCTATGCTATGCTATGCTATGCTATGCTATGCTATGCTATGCTATGCTATGATATGCTTTTGCTTTGCCTTCGCTGTTGCCTTCACTTTT